AATCATCTCGCCCTCCCTCCGCGCCTCCCTCCCTCCCGCCCGCCCTCCCGCCCTCCCTCCCTCCCTCCCTCCCTCCCTCCCTCCCTCCCTCCCTCCCTCCCTCCCTCCCTCCCTCCCTCTGTTCCTCTTCCTCTCTCTCCTGCTCGTTCTTTCCTCTCCTCCTCCTCGTCACCTTGCACGTATCTCCCCTCACACATTCTTCTTTCTGTTTGTCTTGCTCCCTCGCCGTGTTCTTCCGCATCCGACTCACTCCGCCTTCTCACACTCCCAGGAGCTCAAGTGGACCATCGTCGAGGTTCTGAATCGCTTCATCCTCCACGTCAGGAGCCTCGAGAAGAGGAGGACAGACAAGGAGGAGGCAGGAGGAGAGGGAGGGGAGGAGAGAAAACGTCTCCTCCTGCTCGTTGAGGAGTGGAAGGGAATCGGACAGGACGTGGAGCCGCTGGAGCGGATGAAGGAAGAGGTGAGGACGATGCGGTTCAGACCTTGAGTGAGAAAGGCGCAGCTGCAGGACGCGTTCTCCTCCTACTGCAGATCCAGAATGTTGAAGGACGGCGATATACGGTCTCCACCACCTCCTCCTCCCCCTTCCAACTCCTACTCTTCCTATCTTCGCTTTTGTCGCCTCCTCTCGCTCTGCAGGCTGATACTCTTGCAGGTTGAAGTTTGAGCGAGCAGACAACAGGAAGGAGGATGTGTGTACTAGTTGAGCGGCGGGAAGAGGAGGAGGAGGAGCAGGAGGGAAGGAGGGGAGAGGAAGGAAAGATGAAAGAAGCAGGAGGGAGGAAGTGTTAGGAGCGGGAAGGGGAGTGAGACAGAGAAGGAAGAAGCAAAACTTATGATTATATCATTCACTCAGCCTCTCCTCCCTCCTCCCCTTGCCTTCTGTACATCTTCCCACTTCATCTTAACCTCTTCACTGCTCTCTCCTCCTTCTCCTCCTGCCGTCGCATGCTCAGTGTTCCTTTCAACTTCGATCCGCACCTGCCGCAGATTTACGAGCAGCGTCTTCCTCCCCCTCCTCTCCTTCCCCCATTCTCCTCATCAACTCCCTCCAGTCCCTGCTCTCTTCCTTGTCGTACTATTCCAAACTCTGCCTCCCTTCCTCCTCCTCGTCCTCCTCCTCCCTCCTCCTTTTCCTCCTCCTCCTCTCTCCTCCTCCTCCCTCCTCCTCCTCCTTCTCCTCCTCCTCCTCCTCTCTCCTCCTCCTCCTCCCTCCTCCTCCTCGCTTCTCTCACCTCCAGCAGAAGTTCGCGTTAACACGGTGCTCTCCCTCTTCACATCGAAACAAATTGTCTACAGCTAGAGTCAGCACCTCCAAATATCTCCTCCCTCCCTCCCTCCCTCCCTCCCTCCCTCCCTCCCTCCCTCCCTCCCTCCCTCCCTCCTCCCTCCCTCCC